AAAACAATTTTTGAATGACTTTTTTTTTTTTTTTGGTTTTCAGGTGAATGTTAAGGATGTACGATTTCAGGCAATGTATACTTCCCACTTGTTTAATTTGGATCCCTCAGATCCTAATTACAAGAAAACAAAAGCTACGGAAAAAATCCTTGAGGAGAAAGCCCGGCAAAGAGAACAAAAAGAACAAGAATTTACTCAGGCAATAAAGAAAAAAGAGAGTGAGATTACAAAGGAACCACAAAAGAAGTCTATTGATCCTTCCTTGTCAATGTTGATTAAATCTATAAAAACCAAAACAGAGCAGTTCCAAGCAAGAAAAAAACAAAGACTCAAATAAGTGGATATTGTTTTATTTTGAATTGAGAATATATTTTCCCCTACAGTAAGTAGAACTGGTAGGAGGTATATCTATTGGGAACACAGCTACCTTTTAAAGACTATAAATGAAATATTACTGTAACCATTAAAGTTTGTCACCATAAATAACCATTGAACCTAATTTTAGATAATTTACAGATTCATAATTTATTATGTAGTTCCTGATATTAATCATAATTAATTTGTGTTAACCTACATACAGAATTGATCAAATACATTTTATGGAATTCAGGTCATACTAGTAGTAGATTTTTAAAAGACTTTTTATAATTCCTTGTAGAAAATAGAGTCTGAATAAAGATTCGAGATGTTTTGGAAATATATTAATTTCTCAGAAGCAAAAGACAAAATTAGATGTCTATTAAAATAATTTATTTTTTTTTAAACTAAAAAGTGTAGAAGTCAAGAGCCTTCCTTTCTAGTTTGACCGTACTTATTATAGTTTGTTTATTAAGTTAATTTGTAAATAAAAGTGTAAAACATTTTTATTCTGTATAGAACTGACTTGTTTAATTTTATGCACCTCAAATAAACTGCTCTAGAAAAAATATCTGAAAAAATGTTTTGAGCTCTTTAAGAGGACTTCAAGAAGCAACTGTTCCAGATTTGCATAAATCATAATTATATTTAAAATGTCCTTAAGATCCCCAATGATATTTCTGTTTGCAATAACAGAACATTCTCTGTCTCCCTCTCAGATTTTTAGAATGTTTGGAAGGGTAAATATGCTGAATTGAATTTTAAGGAAATCTTAACTCTTTTTAAAAGTAAAATAAGACTGAACATCGGGTTCTAACACTCTTAAGTCTAGATCTTAAAAACTATTAACAGACTTGTTAAGTGTCGCTGAGTCAATTCTGACTCATAGCAACGCTGTGTACGGTTTCCAAGGAGCATCTGGTGTGTTTGAACCGCTAACCTTGTGGTTCCAGCCAACCTTGCAGTTCAGTGCTGTATCCCACAGCTCCACACCAGGACTCCTCAGAAAAAAAAAAAATGTGCTGTATTTAAAAATGAAGATAAAGCCAAAATGTTTATTTGAAGTAAGTGAAAAATAGGGTAATAGCTTCTCAAAGGACTAGGAGTCTGACTAGGTTTGTGGTTTATAATAAACTAGACATTTCTTGTATTAAAATTTAAAGGCTGCCAGTGCAGCATTTTTCTGAAACAAGGATGCAAATTAGGAATGATGTCAAAATAATAAGGGCATACAATTTTCAGTTGGTATATGTTCTTGTTAAGTGCCATTGAGTCAGTTCTGACCCATAGCAACCTGTATAGGGGTTTCTGAGGAGTGGGTGGTGAGCTTGAACTGCCATCCTTGCGATTCAAACCAACTTTGCAGTCCAGCACATTAACCCACAGCTCCATACTAGTGTAAGGTATGCTCACCATGAAATAGTCAACCATTCAAAATCAAAAAGGCAACATAACTCAGACCACAATGCTATAAAACTAGAAATCAACAATAAGAAGACCAAGGCAATAAAGTCAAATAAATGGAAACTGAACAACACCCAACTGAAAAGTGACTGGGTAAAAGAAGAAATTACACATGAATTCACAAAGTTCCTAGAAACAAATGAGAATGAAAACACAACATACCAAAAGCTTTGGGACATGGCAAAAGCAGTGCTGAGAGGACAATTTATTGCGATAAATGCTCACATCCAAAAAGAGGAAAGAACCAAAATCAACACATTAACACAGCACCTTCAACAATTAGAAGCAGACCAGCAGAGGGAACCTACAGTCATCAACAGAAAGCAAATTATTATAATAAAGATAAGAGCAGAAATAAACAAGATGGAAAACCGAAAAACTATAGAATCAACAGGACAAGAAGCTGGTTCTTTGAAAGGATTAATAAAATTGACAAACCCATTGGCAAAACTAACAAAAGAAAAGAGGGAGAGAACAAAAAAACTCGCATTAGAAACCACATGGGTGAATTCACAACAGAACCAAACAAAATCAAAAGGATAATAGAATACTATGAAGAGTTGTACTCCAACAAATTCAAAAACTTAGATGAGATGGATATATTTCTAGAAAAACATGACCTACCTAAACTTACTCAGAATGAAGTAGAAACTTGAATAAACCCATAACAAAAGAAGAAATTGACCAGGTCATCAAAAAACTCCCAACCAACAAAAGTCCAGGCCCAGATGGCTTCACAGGTGAGTTCTGCCAAGCATTCAGGGAAGAACAATTAAGAAATGGGCACAGGATGTGAACAGACACTTCACCAAGGAGGAGATCGGGCAGCCAACAAACATGAAGAAATTCTACGATCACTAGCCATTAGAGAGATGCAAATCAAAACAACAATGAGAAACCATCTCACACCAGCAATAACAGCAAAGATCAAAAAAGCAGAGAACAACAAATGCTGGCGAGGATGTGGAAAGACTGGGACCCTCCTACATTGTTGGTGGGAATACAAAATGGTCAACCACTCTGGAAAGCAATATGGTGCTTCGTCAGAAGGTTGGAAATAGAAATACCATATGACCCAGCAATTCCTCTACTTGGTATTTACCCACAAGAAATAAAAGCCATAACACGAGTAGATATATGCACACCAATATTCATAGCAGCACTATTTACAATAGCTAAAGGAGACAATGAAAATGCCCATCAGTTGAAGAATGGATAAACTGTAGTACCTACACACAATGGAATACTACAGTACCTTGAAGAACAACAAGGAAGCTGCAAGCCATTGCATAACATGGATGAACCTTGAGGACATTATGCTGAGTGAAATTAGAAAAGGAGAAATTCTGCATAAGACCATTATTGTAAAAGACTAAGAAAAAGAACCCACCCCAAAGAGGGGGGGAATCTAAAAATATAAGTGCTGATAACCAGTATGAATGGGGAGGGAGGGGAAGAAAGAGCACAGGGTAGGGAATAGACACAGGAGAGCCTGGGAGCAGGAGGGGCGGGTAGGATGGCAATACACAAGAAAGGGGAGGGGAAAAAGAAGAACAAGGCAGATGGGAGAATGGTTGGGCAGGTTCCCATGGGCTAGGTGGGACAGAGCTAAATGATGAGGTATGCACAACCCTAGAATAACAGGGCTTCAGGATACAGAGATGGAGGCATGGCTTGAAAAGAAGGGAATAACGTAGGATGCTTGGCTGTCTTTTGAATCTTGGTCTCCCTTGCCTACCATTGTGAAATAGACACTCGAGGGTGTGGGGAACAGCCAGAAACATCACAACAGAAAATATGTGGGCCCGGATCCAGCCTATGACTAACTGGAATACCTTGGGGGTGGGGGGGCTGGAAACTGCCAAGACCCAAAATGGTGGGGAGACTATGAAGGCATGGACAGATGGAGTGGCTGGGACCATGCAACTCAGGGAAAGGAACTGTTTGCTGACAGCGGGGGGGGGCCAAGGGGAGCGGGGCTAGGGGGTGTATCCTTTGGTTATTTGATGATGCACAGAGGGGATTTTAATCATTGCAATGAAATGAAATACTATAGGATGAATGTGAAGCTGAAGTGGGACAGAGGCAAATAATGATGTATGCAAAACCTTGGAACAACAGGGCTCTGGGATACAGAGATTGAGACATGGTTTGAATGGGGAAGAGGGGGGAAATAATGTTAAGATGCTTGGCTGTCTGTTGAATCTTGGTTCCCCTGGCATACTGCTGTAAAACAGGTGCTAGAGGGGGAGAGAAAGGAATCGCCAGAAATACCACCATAGAAAGCTTGTAAGTCCGTCTTTTGCCTATAACTGAAATACCTAAAATGGGGCTACAACGTGCCCAGCGAAGGAGGCTTCCTGTGGAACCTCTGCATTGCACAAAACCATAGGTGGAATCCTGAACGGCATCCAGAATCTTCTGAGGGGAAATGTCCACTTGAAAGACAAGCAGACCAGCCTGGAGTGGCCAGAAGAATGGAAGATACGTCCTGAAGGAAAGACTGACAGGAAAAATACAAAACAATATTTGCAGGCTGACTGATTACTACAAGAACAAACAAGTGGCTCACCCAGGAGACATCAAGGTAAGTGGTCAGGTCCCCCTCAGGGCAAACCCCCTTCTAAGACTAAGGCTCAATGGGAATGCATGTTCTGATTAGTGACCACGGTCAGTCGTCACCGATAAGGGGAAGTGAGGGAAAAACAGCAATGAAGCTGCAAGCTATGCCCTACAATGGTCAATAGACCCCTGCAAATCCGGATGGAGACCTGGTTGGCCAGCAGTGTGCCAAATCCAGGGGACTCTTGGACCCAGAGTCAACAACATAGCTACAGAGGACTAGAGTGGAGAGTGAAGTATCCAGCTGACAAGAAGAGAGGGCACATGCATAAGTACACCCACACTTGCAGATAATACCCACTTGACCTGGATGATCTGAGCTCAAACAGAAGTAAGAAGAGGGAAAAAAGAATAATCTGATGCAATTTGATGAACTTGACACACACCTATGGAAGAAATAGCTCAAAAGAGTGAACAAATCTTCACAGCGAGGATCATTCCCACCTCCTCCGCACACGAAACAGGGATGGGCAACTTGGACAATGGCTACCCAGAATGGGGGTGGGGGTGGGAAGGATGCTACAGAGGCAAGAAGTGACTGGCTTACAAGCTTTCAAGAGGGAACCTAGATCCAGAGGGCATGGAGCAAGGTAGAATCTGTACTGAATAGTATCCATTCTGCCTAGTCAGGGCTGATGAGAAGAGATGTGGATAGGTCTCTTGCAATACAATAGTGAATAATTGTTATCAGGACTGATTGTAAGGGCTGGAAATGTAAAGGTGGACGTTTTGGGGCAAAAGGAGGGAGTGATTAACCTTGCAGTCTAGGAGCAGAGTCCCTGGACCATCAAAGGAGAAGAGCGGAGAACGGAACCCTATCCAGAGAAGCAGTGATGCCAGGATGGAGGCAGAGACGATTAAGTGGGGAGATGGAACAGCTGGAGACTTTGGACC